CACAGACACCCACCCACACACACCCACCCACACACACACACACACACGTACCCAGCTACAATTAAAGAAAGAAATTTTTAAGTTGGAAACAAAAAAGACTATATTTATCTACCTTGGTTTCATCAAGGACCAAGAAAAATAAGAAATATTGGAAAAGGAGTTTGCAGGGAGGGAAGCATTAACAAAATAGCCTATGTTAGTTATTGTTTTATAAAATTTGCTGTGAAATCACTGTGATAATTCACATAAATTTTCCATTCCCCATGAACACTAAAATAGATATGTAAGATAAACTTACTGAAATTCATATTATTTTCTAAAATCTCCAACTAATTGCTTAATCTTTTAAGAGGACAGACACAGGAAAAATGAGTATCAATCTCCAAAGATACTACCCTAGTACAGTTTGTTTTAATAAACAGTTCTAGTTCTATTTGAATTAGGTACATCCAGAAACTAATTCACCAAAAATCTGATTTGAAAATGTGTTAGATTAATATGTCTTTAACTTTAGGTTTCAAACATCTATTTCAAGTTTTTTTTTTTTTTAATGCCAAAATAGTTAATTTTTAAAAACTAAGTATTTTGTTTTGTTTTGGCCAAAGCAGTAATAGTAAGAGGCAAATAAGATCATACTTTCAGTGGCTTTTAGAATTGACTTTCAACACAATTCCACCTTCTTACTCCTTTTAACTTAAAAACAAATTGTCAAACGAGGATAATATTTTTATTTAGCATTGTTAATTTAAGTTCAACATCCTTTGTTATCAAAATAATAAATCACATGCTTTTTTTATAGGCAATTCATAAAATTCTAGATAGTGGCTAGAAGTAGATACAATCAGAGATGAAACGAATTTCATTCATCTTAAGTTAAAACTGTTTACCTTAATTTTATTCACTTTAAGCTTATGTTGAAATCAAGCTCAAATGTTACATTGTTTATGTGATAAAAAATATGACAAAGCACCATAAATCCAAATCCAGTACAACATAATTAGAACAGTTACTTAAAGTTACCTGATAATATCAGAACTAACCTATAAGACACAAAAGTAACAAAAGAAACCGATATGTCAAAAGTAGTTTAGAAACAAAAACCACTATTTGTAAGATCATAGGAAAATCGCAAACAACAAGGAAAGACAAACATATCTGGCAATATAGAAAACAGCTATATTCCTATATTAAATTTTATGCTGGTATTATTGATGATTAAATTCCAGAAACTATATTTTCTACTGGTTTACTTACTATACCCTGGGCCTATACATTAGCAACTAAATCATGCCACTTTTTCTTTATTCCTGAATTCTAGATCCCACTATTATTTGATTATACATTCATGCCAAAATTCTGACATTACTTGTAACATAAAGTAATTTAGAAAATGGTGTAGGCATCTTAATTTGGATTAATACTGAGCGCCACCTACTGGTAAAATAAGTTGTTGTTGTTTTTGTCCCCATTTGTTTAAGGACATTTATTAAATACAAATGTTGTTAGTTGTCATCGAGTGGATTCCGACTCATGGTGACCCCACGTGTGTCAGAGCAGAATTGTGCTCCATAGGGTTTTCAAGGTTGTGACCTTACAGAAGCAGACCACCAGGCCTGTCTTCTGAGCTTCTTCTGGGTTAGGTGTGCACCACCAACCTTTCAACTACTAGTGGAAGGCTTACCTGTTTGTGCCACCCAGAGACACTTACTAAATATAATTAGATATGGCTATATAGTTTTTTTAATTTTGAAATTATTTCAAGTGTACAGAAAAGCAAAGAGAGTAACAGCCATTACAATTTGACCAATAATATGAAACTACTTCAACTCTTTAACCAGTATTTTAAGCTACTCATAGTGATTTACCAGATCATCTACTGAGCTGTCAGATAAAAATATCTCTAAGCAACAGATTAACACACTATCTCTAATCCACATGAAACTATGAGAAAAATAAAGCTCAAAAAATGCAATGTTAATAAATAAGATCTTCATTAAAAAGAAGGAATTAGTTTACTGGTTTTAAAATAAAATGGAAATCTACTTTGGGGAAAAAGAACTACTACTTTTTTTTTTTTTACTATAAAACTAATTTTTTTTTTTTTTTTTTTTGCTGCCAGAATACAAATTGGTAGTTAGATTTTAAAAAGCAGGCACAAGAATAAGAGATATGAAATAAAGAAAGCCAAAATTGAGTTAGTGTTGTATGAAGTCAGAGTTAAGAGAATTTTTCAAACTGCGGATAATGACCGATTATAGGTTATACAATCTAATCTGGGGCAAAGAGAACAGAACAGTGTGCAACACTGCAGTAAGAGTAATGCCCAAGAAACATTTCTTTCAGTCATATGTATGTATGCGCATACGTACATATGTATGTATTGAGTCACCATGTAAACTTTTTTTCCTCCATATGGCTCAGAGACAAAAATGTTTCAGGCCACTGCTCAAAAAGCATGGGCCCTGCAGTCAGACAATTTCAAGTTCATATGTTAACTCTACCACTTCCCTGTTGTGTGACTTTGGACACCCTCCCTAAGCTTTAGTTTTCTTATCTGTAAAATGGTGCTAAAAATAGAAACTAGATGGTAATGGTTGTAGGAAACATTAAATGAGATAATGTACACAGAATACAATGTCTGACACTAAGCTCTTGGTAGCTATCATCCTCTGAAAACTGGCCTAACAGTTAAGACTTTTTATTTCAAAATGTAAGTAAGAAGACTTAGATTATATAAAAAGTAAAACCAAAACAATAAACCCCAGCAATAAATGTTTCTTAAGCAAATCAAATTAAGAGCCACCAACTTTGTTGTCAAAATCTTGACCTACCACCAGGCCAAGAATGATAAAGTTCGAAAGTTCGGTACCTCTCTCTCCCTTTCAGTGTTTCTAACTGTCCCATTATCCAAAACTTTCCTCCCTTCCTAACCATGTGCTGTCACTCTGCCCCATTCAGGTCTTCATTCCTTGGTAGAAATGCCAAACTGCCATACTACACAGGACTGCAATGGATCTTAAGTTCACAAAGTAGTCGTCCACTGAATGCAGAACAGCTCTTCTACAAAGAAAAACAAATCAGACACTTATGACTATGGAACTGTAGGCGAATTATCTGATCTCTCTAAACCTAAGTTTCCACAATTACAAAATACAGAGAATTCATCTACACCCTGTACCAAAAAAACAAACCAAACTCATTAAGGTCGAATCTATTCCAGTTCATAGTGAACCTATCTATGGGACAGAGCAGAACCACCCCATAGGGTTTCCAAGGAGCAGCTGGTGGATTTGAACTGCCAACCTTTTGGTTAGCAGCCAAGCTCTTAACCACTGTACCACCAGGGCTCCCTACACCTTGCAGGATCCTTTAAAATTAAAGTATATGAAATATATAAGCATCTAGGCACATAGTAAGAGTGCTGTATATATATATATCAACTCCCCTCCCCTTTACTGACAAGGCCATTCTATGACTCCCTAAATATTTCAGGTAATAAGATGTTCCACCCCAATCCTGTGCAATTACGTTTTATAGAAAATTATTTCTTATACTGATATGAAAATGTCAAGAGATCAAAGGCAGAAAAGATCATGATGAGCTGAAGTAACTGGAGACTGCTTCATTCAAAGGCAGCTTCATGAATGCAGCATAACGTTGAACTGGGCCTGAAAGATGGACACAATTCAGAGGAGCAGAAAAGACTCAGATGTTAATTGTTTATTCATTCATTCATTGACTCAGTCATCAAAAATGTGCTAAATACATACTATGTGCCAAGAATATTCTAGGTGCTGGGATCCAGGCAGGGAAATAAACATTAAAATCACTGCCCACATTTACTATACATCCGAGCAGAGCAAGATAGACATACAAGCAAGTTATAAAATATATAAGATACCAGATGGCGATAAATGCTATGGAGAAAAAAAAATTTAAGGGGATAAGGAGAATAGAAGTGTGTGTGGGGGGAATGAAATGCTGTTTTAAATACAGTGATCAGGGAACACCACACTGATAAAGTGGCATCTGAGCAGAGCACTAAAGCAGGGAGGAGTCAGCTATGCAGAAATCTGCGGAAAGAGGATTCTAGACAGAGGAACGAGCAAGTACACAGACACAGAGGCTATTCCAGTACGTTAACTCATGC